TTGCTATTGCCCCATTGTCCAAAGCAGGTCACACGGCCAAATCCAGGTTGAAGAGTCCCTTTCCTTTCTGGCTCACCACACTCTGGACTTTCAGATTTTGAACTACTTAATTATGAGCCTGGGCTTCAAATGAGAATTCTGTCTCCTGATCAGAGAGGTTGGAGTGGGAAGGCAGAGGGAAAAAGATTTTCAAAGAAAAGCTGTGTGGCATTTCTGCATCTGCAGTTTACATCCGGCTCTGGATCGGGAGCTGAAAGATCTGGGTTTAAGGGCCGGCTCTACCATTAGCCAAGTGTGAACCTGGCCCAAGTTTCTGGTCTATAAGGAGCTTAAGCCCCTGCTGTGCTGAGGGTGATTTTTCAGAGCCGAATTAAACAAATGGTTACCACAGAAATTCAAAACCACTCTCCTGGCTGTGGGGCCTTGTGCCTCCAATACTGTAGTGTGTGTTGTACAAGAGCACGCTTTCTAAAAACAGGCGCCCAGATAGTGACATCACAGCTGTGGGGATGCTCAGGAAACTTTGACAGGAGTCCCTGCTGTACACCCATGAACTGTGAAAAGGAATTCATTTTACCCATTAGAGCCTCGGATACTTTATTGGGAAAATGGCCTTGATACTATTAATCTCACAGGGTCATTGTGACATTTAAGTGGAATGTCTGTCAAGTGTGTTATTTTACCATCAAACATGTATATACCCCCTGGCCCAGCAATTCTGCTCCTGGGAGAAACTCACATGTGCACCAGGAGACATAGACTGGAACGGTCATAGTAGTACTGTTTGGAATGGCAAAAACCTGAAATGACCCAGATGCCTTTCAAGGAGAGAGGAGATGAATCAGATACGGCATAGTCACACGATGGACTATAATACAGCCATTAAAATGAATGAACTAGGACTTCCCTGGCGGTCCAGTGGTTAAGACTGCACGCTTCCACTGCAGGGGGCGCAGGTTCAATCCCTGGTCAGGGAACTAAGATCCCGCATACTGTGTGGCATGGTAAAAAAAAAAAAAAAAAGAATGAACTAATGTGATATGGGAAAAAAGAATGAATCTTAGCAAAATAACATTAAATGAAAATTAATATTAAGTGAATATGTATTCACCTAATATGAAAAATAAGAGTAAATCTTTGCAAAAAAAATAGTAAGTGAAACAATTTTTCACTTAATACTAAGTGAAAAAAAAATCAGGCCTCCAGGAATCATATATAGCACAATTCCCTTTTTTTAAAGGTTAAAATAATTAAAAACAGTATTTATTTTAGGAATATACTGAATACATATAGATACAATAAAACTATGTAAAATGAGAAGCCAGGGCATGATGAACACAGGGAATCAAGGTGGTGGTTTCTGAGCAGGAGAGGTGGGTGGATGGGTGTGCGGGGCATGTGATTAGATGTAGGATATGGTCAAGATCCTCCTTTATGATTTAAGTGGTGGCTACTTAGATTCTTGTTGTATTATTACAAAAGTACCTAATTTAATACCAACCAACTAAAAGGAGGCCGTTCACAAGCCAATGATGAGAAAACGTCATGAGCCAAAGATATGATTAATCCAATTCTGAGTTCCCAAAGTCCCTGAAAAGTATGTTGCAAATCGTGACACATGTTGGGTGTTCTCAGTATTGGTCAATCAGCTGTTTGGGTCAGCCTGCTGCTAGTGTTTCTTTTGTATTTGAATGATTAAATGTTTAAAGTTTCCTCTGGCCCATGAAGGTTGAGCTTGGAGACCTGTGATCTTCCATCTGTGGGTAAGACATCCGGGGGGGCCACAGGCGGAGGAATGGATCGGCCTAGGGGGAGGGGTCATTAAGTCAAAGGTGGGAGGTAAAAGGCGTGGGAGACACACTGGCTTCCTGCTTGGTTAAGTGAGGGCTTCCGGGGAAACTTGTCCTCTTCATCCATGGAGCAGAAGATGCTAAGCTAAAATGGGCAACCTCGATGCTTCTCACGTAACCTGAGCCAGAGCTAGCTCCCGTCACCCCGAAGGAGCCTGGCCAGGGTCACCATGGTGAGACGGTTGCAAGCCTGAGTGCCTTTCTTTATTCTTGAAACATTTCCTGGGGCCTTGGGCTCTCAGCATTGTCTAGACACTGGTAACGGAGTCAAGCTCTGTGGGCTGTGCTGAGCTTAATGAGTGAAGATCACACAGGGTTTGGTGGAACCTTCTGGGGCATGTCTCTGCCCTCTGGCTTCTGAGGATCATCAAGGCATAATGGGGCTCCGAGTACTACTCCTTTGCCCCTTCAATTGTCTGTCTCCCCAGCAGGGAACCCTCTGCCCAGCCAGACTGTAGGAGTCAGGCTGAAATGCTGCTCCCCCAGCAGAGGATGATTTAGCGACAGTGGGGCCAGTATGCCTCCCTGTGTGGGATGCTGTTTCCCTGGCCCGTTTGGGGAAGAGAAGACAGGAAAGGAGCGAGCCTTTATTGAGCACCTGCTGTGTGCCAGGCACTGTGTCCATCTCACCAAATCCTCAGAGTATCCTTATGAGATGTTATTAAAATCTCCCCATCTCATGGGCTTGAACAACTTTCTATTATGGAATTTTCAAAAATGTTTCTTGAACCCCCATCATCCATTATCCTACTTCAACATTTAACAACTCATGAACAATCTTGTTTTATGCATACCTCCACCTTCTCCTCCTCTCTCTCCTGAATTATTTTGAAGGAAATCTCAGACATAATTTTATCTGTATTTCAATTTGTATAGATAAAAGATAAAGATTTTTTTTTTTTTTTTGCGGGCCTCTCACTGTTGTGGCCTCTCCCGTTGCGGAGCACAGGCTCTGGACGCGCAGGCTCAGCGGCCATGGCTCATGGGCCCAGCGGCTTCGTGGCATATGGGATCTTCCCGGACCGGGGCACGAGCCCGTGTCCCCTGCATCAGCAGGCGGACTCTCGACCACTGCGCCACCAGGGAAGCCCAAAGATAAAGATTCTTAAAAAAAAACCACACTATCATTATCACACATAGAAAATTAAGGAATAATTTTCTTATGGATTTTTATTAAATGGTATTGGGATATCTGGATAGTCATTTGGAAAGATATCAAAGTAAGTCCATACCTTATACTGTACATGAAAATAAACTTCCAAGAAGATCAGAGATTGAGAAAACAAACCATACACATTCTAGAAGGAAACATGGATCTGTGTGTAAGGAATGCCTTTTAAAAAAACTATGCCTCAAAATTCAGATGCATAAAATGTTAATAAATTTAACTACATTAAATATATATTTTTTGCATTGACAAAAAAACATAAGCTGAGTCAAACGACAAATGACAAACTGGGGGTAAATATTTGCAAGACGTATTACAGATAAAGGGCTTATTTTCCTAATATAGAGAATGTTTAAAAAAGTGAGAAAAAGAAAGAAACAAGATCTGATGGAAAAATTGGCAGAAGACATGAACAGACAGTTCACAGAAAAAGATATACAGATGGCCTTTAAACATATGAAAAGCTGCTCAGTTTCACTCATAATAAGCAAAATGCAAATCAAACCCCACTGAGAGATGGTTTCTTATCCATGTGATTGGCAGACATTCAAAGGTTTGATCACACACTCTGGTGGCAAGGCTTCAGGAAAGTTTCTCAGCTAATGCTGGTGGGATGGCAAAGTGGCACAAGCCCCACGGAGGGGAGTTTGTCAATATCTAACAAAACCACATGTGTATTTACTGCTTGACCTGAAAAAAAAAAAAAAAGCCCTGAAAGACTAAGAGTGATTGGAGTCTGTTCTAGATTAAAGGAGAATAAAAAGATGTGACAACCAAATTTAACACGTGATCTTGGTTAGATTGTAGATCAGAAAAATAAAGCTATAAAGAATGTTTTTGAGACAATAGTGAACATGGGCATGGACTGTCTTCTAGATAATACTATATTGTGTGTCAGTGCTGAATTTCTTGCGCGTGATAATGGCACTGTAGTTTATATAGCAGATCTCCTGTTTGTTCTTAGGAGATTCATGCCGAAGTACTTTGAGGCGAAGTACTTTTTTTGGGGGGGGTATGTGGGCCTCTCACTGTTGTGGCCTCTCCCGTTGCGGAGCACAGGCTCCGGACGCGCAGGCCCAGCGGCCATGGCTCACGGGCCCAGCCGCTCCACGGCATGTGGGATCTTCCCGGACCGGGGCACGAACCCTTGTCCCCTGAATCGGCAGGCGGACTTTCAACCACCGCGCCACCAGGGAAGCCCGGCGAAGTACTTTTTGTCTGCAACTATCTTTCAGATGATTCAGAGGGAAAAAGAAGTCTGCATGTATATCCCTGAAATGGGACTCCTTTCTTCCCACTTAACATAACATAACTCTCCCCGCTGGGCTCGTCACTGGCAAAGGCTTCCTTTTCCCTTTTCAGAGCACCTTGTCATGGAGCCCATGCTCATTGTCATGGAACAGAGTCAGTAGAGCAACAAGGAGGTGCAGGACCTTCTCCTGGTACCATGTACTGATATCTTGTCCCCTTCTTCACTGGGAGCACTGGGCTCAAGGCTTGGAGACCCAAGTTAGAGTCCCTGGGACCTTCGGCAAGCTACTCCACTTCCCCGGCTTCCTTAATCTGGGCTACAGGGTGTCCAAGACCCCACCCAGCCATGATGTCGGTTGGAAGAAGCTGTCCTTGAACTCAGATGCTTATAGGGTTCTGGAGGCTGGGGAGTTTGATGATGTTAATGGTCCTCTGTGGCAAGAGATGGAAATGAAATTTTATCCTTTGGATTCTCTCTTCCCTAAACTGAGTCCCAGTCACTGTCTTGGGGGAGAAAGGAGAAAGCAAGGCACCTGTGCGCACGTGTGAGTGTGCTTGTGTCTGAGTGAGTGAGGCTCTGAGACTGATACCAGGAGCAGTGCTGTGGATGGGGTCTAAAGTCAGCATTTGGGGGTGGGAAGATGCCTGGGAGCTGGTGGGGGGGGCACTGTTTGGTACCCCAGGGCTCTTGGGGAAGCGTCAAGTTTCACCTGTCCCGCCCCCGCCCCCAGGCCCACGAGCGGCTGGAGGAGACGAAGCTGGAGGCCGTGCGGGACAACAACCTAGAGCTGGTGCGGGAGATCCTGCGGGACCTGGCGCGGCTGGCCGAGCGGAGCAGCGCGGCGGCGGAGCTGGTCCGCATCCTCCAGGAGCCCCACTTCCAGGTGTGGTCCTCTCCCGGGCTGCTGGGGGGCTGGCGCCGGCAGGAAGTTAGAACTGGGGTGGGAAGGGACCTCTGCCCCATGGTCCCTCCTCTTCCCCCCGCCTCCCCAGTCCCTCCTGGAGACGCACGACTCTGTGGCCTCAAAGACCTATGAGACACCGCCCCCCAGCCCTGGCCTGGACCCCACGTTCAGCAACCAGCCCGTGCCTCCTGACGCAGTGCGCATGGTGGGCGTCCGCAAGACGGCTGGAGAGCATCTGGTGAGGGCGCTGGGCAGCGCCAGCGGTGGAATCTCGGGAGGGGGGGGGTTGAGAGTGACCGGCGGGGATCAAGTCTGGTCAGGAGAGGGCTGAAGATGAAGACGGGATCAGCTCTGCCCAGGGTCGGGCGCCAGCACACCCAGGAGACCGCAGACATTGTGACTCTCTCCATTCTGCCCACTCTCAGTCCACTGGTGCCCCTGTAGGTAAAGAATTTGGGCAGAAGATGGCAGAGAAGATCGCTGTGAGGGCGGGGCTAGAAGGGTAGAATGGAGGGGCTCTTAAGAGACCCATTTGAAGATTCTGACTTGGAGCAGTTGGCGCCTCATCATACCCGCCCTCCGTCCCCCAGGGCGTGACATTCCGCGTGGAGGGTGGCGAGTTGGTGATCGCACGCATTCTGCACGGGGGCATGGTGGCTCAGCAAGGCCTACTGCACGTGGGCGACATCATCAAGGAGGTGAACGGGCAGCCGGTGGGCAGCGACCCCCGCGCGCTGCAGGAGCTCCTGCGCAACGCCAGCGGCAGCGTTATCCTCAAGATCCTGCCCAGCTACCAGGAGCCCCATCTGCCCCGCCAGGTGGGCCCCTCCTCCAAGCCCCTCGCCCAGCACAAGGCCCAGGGGGTGGCTGAGCTTCCCGGCGGCCAGGGTCACGGGCCTCCTGATGGGAGCCCCTCCTCGCCAGCCAGTGTAGTCAAAGCAAGAGGCATCTGGCGAATGCGGCCACGCGTTCGCCCTAGTCTCGGGCACTCGTGCACACGTGTAAGGGATGTGCGCGCACCTAAAGCCTGGAGTACCCGAGTGTACAAATGAATTCCTGCATCGTGCGCAGCCCTCCGTGTGCCTGCTGTAGGCACGGGTGCCCAGAATTGGGTTATCACGTGTTCTATACAGATGCCTTCAGGTTGGTGGATTGTGGAGGTCTCGCTGCTCTGCTCACCTCTCCTATTGGCTGTCTAGCCTTTTGCCCGAGCCCTCTCCTCCGAGGGAGGGTGTGGGGGATGGAGGGATCTTGCATCAGGTGCCAGGATCGTGTTCCTTACCAGGTGATCCCACCTTCCTGATGGGTAGGGCCAGGGCCCCAGGCCTGAGCAGATCCCCATCCTTCTGGGTCCTTTTGTTCTGGATGCAAAGGGAGGCTGGTACCAGGGAGGTGGACCAGGCAGGCCTGTGGCATCATGCCTTTAGATGGGCAGTGCCAGGGTCTCTTTCATCTTTGTGAGGGGAGGGGGCAGGAGGTGAACTGTGTGACACTCCCATCCCCCCACCCTCGGGGTAGGGGTGGCAACAGGAATGGGCATCGCCCCCTCCAGCCTTCCCCTGCTTCTTCCCTTGACCCTTTGCCAAATCCCTGGCCCAGGTATTTGTGAAATGCCACTTTGACTATGACCCAGCCAGAGACAGCCTTATCCCCTGCAAGGAAGCCGGCCTGCGCTTCAATGCTGGGGACCTGCTTCAGATTGTAAACCAGGACGACGCCAACTGGTGGCAGGTGAGCCCTGGGCACCCATGCTGTCTCTCCAGGTATGGTGTCGGCGGGCATTGAGGGCTTACTCGGGCACGTCTTTGTCCCACGGTCATTTCAGGCGTGCCACGTAGAAGGGGGCAGCGCTGGGCTCATCCCCAGTCAGCTCCTAGAGGAGAAGCGGAAAGCCTTTGTCAAGCGGGACCTGGAGCTGACACCCACCTCAGGTACAGTCCTGCCCCCAGACCTCTAATCTGGGACCTGATGTGGCCCTGCCTGGCCTCACTTGCTCATCTCCTTATGGCCAGGGACCCTGTGCGGCAGCATTTCAGGAAAGAAAAAGAAGCGAATGATGTATTTGACCACCAAGAATGCAGGTGGGTGTTGGGGGCCCCCTTCCCCCATCCTCCTTCAGTGCTCCCTCCGTCCCCCACCAATGACTTGTGCATCTCCTGGTTCTGATGCTGCCAGTCCTGTCCCTCAGCCCTGCCCTGTCTTTCCCTCCTGCCCTCGGCCCCAGCCCTCTTATCCTTGGCCTCCCTGAGAGCCCAGCCCCACGCCCTTCACCTGATGAGCAGTGACATCTCCCTGTCCAGAGTTTGACCGCCATGAGTTGCTCATTTATGAGGAGGTGGCCCGCATGCCCCCCTTCCGCCGGAAAACCCTGGTGCTCATCGGGGCTCAGGGTGTGGGCCGGCGCAGCCTGAAGAACAGACTCATCATGTGGGATCCGGATCGCTATGGCACCACAGTGCCCTGTGAGTGGGGGCTGGGTCCTGCCGGGTGGGAGGCAGGGAGCAGGGGCTGCCCTGGGGGCCAAGGCTGGGCCCACTGAATGGGCATCTGCGTAGGCCTCAGGTTAAGTGATACCTTTGGGTGTGAGGTGTGTGGTGCGCGCCCTCTGTGGGTGGATGTGGGAACTGCAGGCTGGGGAGGGCGAGGAACCATTGGCCACGTGGGTGGTGCTAGCCTTACCTTTCCTTCTCTCATGTTTCACTTGCTAAAAGCCCAGCTGGGAACCCATGTGAAACAGGGCTATGAGCTGTGTGTGGCCTTGTGGAAAAGAGGGCTTCTGGTGACAGAACCAGAGGCAGGAACCTGAGTGCTGACCCCAGGTCTGCTTGGCCTTGCTGTGTGGCTTTGGGCTGCATATTGCCCTCTCTGGGCTTCAGCCTCCAACTGTAAGCACTGGGTTATAACAGTGATTTCTGAAGGTCCCCTCAGTATGGACGTCTCGAGTCTGTGGGTGCCAATGGTGAGGGCGAGGGCAAGGTGTGCGGGAAGGCAGCAGGGCTGCTTGGTGCAGGTAGAGCACGAGCACGTGTGTCTGAGGTGGTGTGGCCTGCCTATGCCCATTCGGCCCCTCCTTCCCCCTAGACACGTCCCGGAGGCCCAAGGACTCAGAACGGGAAGGCCAGGGTTACAGCTTTGTGTCCCGTGCGGAGATGGAGGCTGACATCCGTGCTGGGCGATACCTGGAACATGGTGAATACGAGGGCAACCTGTATGGCACACGTATCGACTCCATCCGGGGCGTGGTCGCTGCTGGCCGGGTGTGTGTGCTGGATGTCAACCCCCAGGTACTGCCTGGCCTGCTCCTTCCCAGCCTGCTCAATACCTCTCTGGGTACTCTGCTTGCCCCCCAGTATTACCCCATATATTTCCAAGTACCCCCCTATAACCCCTCAACTACTGCTAGGGACCCAGCCCACCTAGAACCTCTTTCTCAGCCTCCTGGACCCCCAGTCACCCCATCCCTAGCCACCTGCCAGCTATTTTGCCATTCATCCCCAGGACTCATGTCCCAGAGCCCCAGGTCCACATTCTCATCTATTCCCAGGTACCGGTTCTCACCCCCATCACCCCAGATGTACATGGGGATAAACTCCTGACCCTCCTCTTCTGCAGGCAGTGAAGGTCCTGAGAACAGCTGAGTTTGTCCCTTATGTGGTGTTCATTGAGGCCCCTGACTTTGAGACCCTGCGAGCCATGAACCGGACGGCGCTGGAGAGTGGGGTGTCCACCAAGCAGCTCACGGTGAGGGCCTCTGAGGTGTGGTGGTGGGGGTCTAATGGCTGACTGGGGTGGTGTGGGGGGCCAGCCAGAGCCGAGGAAGAGAAGAAGGTGGTGTTGGGAAGGGGAGAGGCGCCCACCTGAGGTACCACTGAGGTTAGACTCGCGAATGCCACTTTATAGGTGTGGGAATGGAGGTCTGAGCGAGGAAGTGAAGTGTAGAGTCAGGGACACAGCTGGCCCGGGGCACGGGAGCTTCTGCCAAGCCCCCTGCTCGGTCCATTCTGTGGGAACAGGGCTCCAGGGGAGCCCAGAGGGCCGGTGGGCGATTTGTGGGCAGAGGTGGGCTGTTTACAGCTGGGGGTAAGGCTGAAGGGAGGGAGGAGGCCAGAGGCTGGAAGGCTGCCTGGAGGGACCAGTTAGCATCAGGGAGGAGGCAGTGCAGGGAGGAGAGGCTTCAAGGCAGGTGTTGCAGGACTTCAGGGCACCCTTCTCCCGCCAGGGACCCCTTGGAACAGCCTTCCCCAGCAGGTGCAGGGTTTGCAGAGCTCTGAACTCAGGGGTCCCTCTGCTGGCCACTTATGGTACTGCAGCTCTCAGGCCCCGGTCAGGGCTCAGACCCAGGAGAAAGGTCCGGGCTGGGCTCCCCACTGCTGCAGCCGGCTCTGGCCACAAACAGAGCCTACTGGAGCCCCCGGGACACAGCTGGGTCAGTCCTAGAGCTCCTGCCTCGGCTTCAGTAAGTCAGTATTCAAGTTCCCTTCCCACCCTTGCCGGTCCAGCTTGGGCTGTGTCTGGAGAGGGGTTGCCTCGGGCCCTTGTGGGCAGCCCTAGGACCAGGCGTGGCAATTGCCTTCAGGCTGTCTAGGTACAGGGGCCTAGTCAGACTGAAGGGGGCGCTGGCTTTGGAGTCAGGCAGACCCCATTCAGCCATTGGCTGGCTGTGTGGCCTCTTTGTACGTCAGTTTTCTCTGTTGTAGATGAGAATAATTAGTCCCGCTTGCAGAGCTGTAGCGAAGATTACGCTGGTCGCCAAGTGTTTAGTGCAGTGCTTGGCGCTTCCTAAAGGTTATTTCCTTCCTCCCTTCCCACCACCCATCTGTCTGTCCACGGTCACAGGAGAGCTGCCTTGGGGCATGCAGGGAGGGGCTGCTGCCTCCCCAGCCAGGGGGTCTGTGCCTGCCATGGTTGGTACTTTGGGCTTTGGGGAGGGGGCTAGACGGGGCAGGCTGTGGGGCCCCTGACGCTGGGGGTGCCAGGCGGATACTGATGGGCGGGAGGTCCCCTTGTGCTGGCAGGAGGCGGACCTGAGACGGACAGTGGAGGAGAGCAGCCGTATCCAGAGGGGCTACGGGCATTACTTCGACCTCAGTCTGGTCAATAGGAACCTGGAGAGGACCTTCCGTGAACTCCAGGCCGCCCTGGAGAAGCTGCGCACGGAGCCCCAGTGGGTGCCCGTCAGCTGGGTGTACTGAGCCTGTTCTCCTGGACCTCGGCCCTCTGGGTTGGGACCCAGAACCCTGAATCCGTCCCCTTCCCAACCGTGAGCCCCAGCCATGATCCTCAGCTCCCGTTCCCGGCGCTCTGGCTCTCCCTGGGTCATGGCCCTAAGTCTGGCTTCAGCGCAGGAGGCGTGCACTGCCAGGGAGGTGGGTGTTCGTGGGGCACGTCTGTGCCCAGGTGCTACCCACTCCCGACGTTCATTGGCCACCAGATGTCCCTCGCTGAGGGCCGAGCCGTGCCCCGGAGTGTCGGAGTCGCCTCCATAATGCTCAGTCCAGAGAAGAGAAAAGCTGCTTTGGGACCAGGTGGTCAGTAGGTACGCTGCCCCCACCCCTCTCGCCAGTCAGTTTTTCTCCTCTGGACTGGCCACCCTGACCCCACTCCTGGGCTGCTCCTACTTCTCGCCCCTGCAGCCTAGGGGCAGGCCTTAGGCTGGTTCCCTGTGGCCAGGGGGCTACGTTGCCCCCTGGCAGCTAGGCAAGCCCAGGTGCGGTGCCAGCCTGGTACCATCCCGAAGGCTGGAGGAGCCGAAGCACCAGCCAGTTGCCGCACCAGGGAGCAGCGCGGTTCTCTGCCCCCTCGGAACGGGGCTGGCTCCCGTCCTTCCCTCACGCACAGCTTTTCACTGCCGAAGTCTCTCCACAGACTTCTCCGATGTGCCCCTGACAGGCCAGCTCTGCTCCCCGCAGGGCAAGGGCGGCAGGGGCTGCGGGCTCAGCCCAGGCGGGGGTGGGCTGGAGGCCGAGCCCTGTGACGAGGAGCCTGACGGGAAGCTCCCAGCCCTCCGTGGCCCGTGGTGGGGACGTGTCTGGGCTCCCTGTCCGTGGTCAGTGTCCATTTTGGTCTCTGTGGCCGGGTCCAGGTGCCCACTCACATGAAGGCGGCCTGGGGGCTGGGGAAAGGGGAGGGCTGGGCCACGGGGCATGGCCTTGGAGGATGTTTGCACCCCAGCAGACTCCCCGCACACCTCCACGGGGCGTCATCCACCCTGGAGTCGCCACAGCTTATGGTTCCGCAGGCTGCAGTGCCTGGTCTGTGTTCTGCCACTGGCGTGTGTGTCAGGCTGAGTTTTTGGAGAGGGGAAGCAAAGGGTTGTTGAGCTTTGGAGGTCACTCTTCGGGGCCCCGTTTCCGGGCTCCCCATCAGCCCCCCATTTCTTATGAGACCCTTATCCCAGATTCCAGAGGCTCGGCCTTCCCCAGATGTCTCCCTCCACTCTCCTGTTGTTCCCCGACCCTAAATGCCACCCTCCAGTCCTTGAGGAGGGCAGCTGTGTAAAATAGGAGAATCCCTTTTTTAAAAAGTCTGCTGTCCTTGACTTCCCCAGACGTCCCTGTGGCCCCTCCTGGGGTGAACCTGTCCTTGTAGGGGACCCCCCATGACCCCACCCCCAGCCTTTGTGCTCCCCAGTTCTTCTGTCTAATCAGTCTTCGCTGCAGTGTCAGCCACGCTGGCCCCTGAACCACTGTGTGCCCATTTCCTAGGGAAGGGGAGGGAGAAGAAACAGAATATTTATTACAAAGTCAGAAGTATATTTATTATATTAGGGATCTCATTTGCATTTGCCTAGGATATGCAAATGAGATGTAAAGGTCAAGTCTGCTTCCATCTCATTTGCATAGCTCTGCCTCCACTATGCAGTCAGCTTTATGTTCCTCTTTTCCCTTTAGTCAGTGTTCTTTTAATTTATCCTCAATTCAGCTCTCTCTTGCTTCACCCTCACCCTCAACCCAAGGGGACTGGGAGTGGGAGGAGAATGGGGTGTTCTCGCGCTGGCCCAGGGCCATGGGGTTCTTTGTTCATACCCACGTCACCCAGGAGACTTGGGAATAGAGACAGCTACCCCCTCCCCCTTGGTTAGCCTCCAAAGCACTCTGATTAGAAGACCATTCTCTGATGGGAGGTGCGGCTGGGCACCTTGCTGAAGGATTGGCACATGGCCCTTGAGGGTGAAGCTCCAGTTACTGTCTGGCACCTTCACTTCTGGTGATGCCTGTGGGTTGGGCCCCTCCCTTCCCGTCTCTATTCCTCTCTGAACAGCATTCTACCTCCCCTGCCTTAGCTGTACTCCGGGGACCCGTACTGGGTTGGAATGGATGTGTGTGCCCACCGCGTTAGCCCTCAGGCTCCAGCCTCCCTCTTCCCACTGTGGACGCTTGTATTGAGGAACCTCAGGATTATGGGACCCTGCCGCCCCGTCCACACTCAGTCCCAGCCCAGCTGTGCTTCTCCTGTCCCCTCTCTCAGCCATCCAGTTCTTGAGCTTTCTCTCTGATTGGCTTTCTTTTCCTTTGATTAAATGTGAAAGCAAAGCTTCTGGGCTCTGTTTGTCTTTCACTGGGGTCGGGTGGATGGCTTTGGGAAAGGTTGAGGGTGGGGAGCACAGCATAGATGATTCTGGAATGGAAGCTGGAGTGACATGTCTTGCGTTCTGTGATGTCTTCTGAAATTTCCCGTCTCGCCACTCCACGCTCCCCACCCCCAGAAGATGCTCTTGGTAAATGCTTGTATCGAGGAGTCTGAGCATCCACGGGGGCCAGGGGACTCAGGGACCCCATGGCTGATCCACTCAGCTTCACCTGGAACTTGCTGTGTGGCCTTAGGCAGGTTCCTCTGCTTCTCTGGCCCTCAAGTTCATCCTCTGTAAAGTGTCACGGCCTCTCCCAGGACTAATGCTAGGATTGATTCTAGGTGCTTAACAACAAGGGTCGTAGAGAGCTGGTTGAAATGTCACCCCGATGTCACTGTGGGTGTGTGGTTGAGGGGTCAGCCTTCCTTCCCACCTGAGTTCCTCAGGGGAGCCCAGAATGCTTACTGAGGATTCTCAAGAGGGGGCTTTGGCTGTTCCCTTCTCCCTGTGATGACCAGGTGTGGAACGGGCCCCCTTTCCTTTTGACTTCCGCCCCAAGCATCCGTTCACACAGGGACGAGTGTGGAGCTAATTTGACTGGTGACTTGGAGGCAGGCATAGGGGTTTATATCACCCACCTGACAGCCCTGATGAGAATTTAGACCCGAATATTAAACACCCCAATTCTGAAATGTCCCTTGACCATTCCCAGCACATAGAATGTTTTCCTGGCCAACTTTTTCTTCTTGGGTCCCCCTGCTTCCCTCCATGTTTCTGGGCGCTCTCCTGCTTTTTTCTCTCATTTCTGGACAACTTTCTCCCCATCTCCTGGGGCACCCCTGGAAACTCAATATTTCTTTACTATACCTAGCAACCCCACACTTGTAATTCTGTCCTAATCCAGTGGTTCTCAACCCTGGTCTCACATTAAAATTGCCTGTGGGGTTAAAAAATACAATTGCCTGGACCCCAATCCAGCACAATTAAATCCGAAGTTCAGGAAAGGCTGAGAGCTTAGCCACTGAACAACGAATAACATCTCAGCAACCGAACAACTTTACTATTCATTTCTTTCTCACAACACGACTGATGGAGATTGGGTGGCACTCCTTGCAAGTGATTCAGGGATCCAGTCTCCCTAGTCACAGGGCCCTGGATTACTGCAAGTGAAGCTGGGAAATGTAGTCTTTCTTGGTGCTCCAGAAGAGGAAACAGGATCTAACCAGGACATGGGTTTGAGTCCTGGTCCGGGAAGATCCCACATACCGTGGAGCAACTAAGCCTGTGCACCACAACTACTGAGCCTGCACTCTAGAGCCCGCGAGCCACAACTTCTGAGCCCACGTGCCACAACTACCGAAGCCCATGCCCGTGCTCCGCAATAAGAGAAGCCACCGCAAAGAGAAGCCCACGCACGGCAACCAGGAGCAGCCCAACTCACTGCAACAAGAGGAAGCCCGTGCGCAGCAACGGAGACCCAACACAGCCAAAAAAAACCCACATTAAATAAATAAATAAATAAAAGCTCCCCAGATGATTCTAACGTGTAGCCAAGTGTGCCAACCACTGCCTCTCTATTTTGGACATCACTTTGTAGTGTGGGGAATTTCCTTTTAGTCCCAAACTGGCATCAGTTTTTCCTAATACAGGCAGTTACATTTCTAAAAGGAACTCTGCCCGTTTTTTTTTTAAAATCCTTTTTCCCTCTTGGCACGGTAGCATGTGGTTAGTAGGGCAGAAAGGATGCTTATCACACTATAGTTGGAAAGACTGGCCTGGAGGGGCAAGGGCTTTGCCTAATGTCACACAGAAAATTGTCGGCAGAGCTGGAACGAGGCTCTTGGACTCTCGGCTCCCAGCCGGGCTTCCCTGCCATGCTGCCTTCCAGAGATGGAGGGGGATTGATTAGAAATGGGGGTAGGGTTGTGCTTGGGGAAGGAGGCACTGTTGGAGGAGAAACATGGGCTAAGAAAGGGAACCACGAGGGATCGCGTGGGCTCCCTTGCCATCCCCAGACTCAGCTCCTCAAGAGACCCAGGGGGTTGAGAGCATCACCTTTAGACGAGCTCACTGGCCCAGCTTCCTCTGGGCTGGGTTTGGTGGGGACCACAGAGTTCTGGGAGAGACAAGTGCAGGCCATGCCAGCTGGTAAGGAGGGCCGTCTAGCTTGTTCCGTTGATCTGTTTATCTAGCCTAATTGCCATGATCAGAGTTTTAATTCTTTAGAAATTTCTGTTTTACTATCTAGTAAGGAAAGTTTTCAATTACTCTCTTTTTTTATTTATTATTTTTAAAATAAATTTATTTATATTTTTGGCTGCATTGGGTCTTCGTTGCTGCTCACGGGCTTTCTCTAGTTGCGGTGAGCAGGGGTTACTGTTCATTGCGGTGCGCGGGCTTCTCATTGTCGTGGCTTCTCTTGCTGCGGAGCACCAGCTCCAGGAGCGAGGGCCTCAGTAGTTGTGGCGTGTGGGCTCAGTAGTTGTGGCTCTCAGGCTCTAGAGAACAGGCTCAGTAGTCGTGGCGCACTGGCTTAGTTGCTCCGCGGCATCAGACCAGATGGGATCAGACCAGAGCTCGAACCCGTGTCCCCTGCATTGGCAGGCGGATTCTCAACCACTGCACCACCAGGGAAGTCCCTGTGGCTGTAACTTTTGCAGTTTGAAGTGTGACAGCAAAGCTGGCACAAATGTTTTTCCTTCTTCACAGTCTCCTGGATAGATTTGTTCTTAGACCGTTTGATGTTTTTCTTTCCTTTTTTTTTTGTTGTTGTTTTTTGGCCGTGTGGCTTGTGGGATCTTAGTTCCCTGACCAGAGATGGAACGGGGCCCTCAGCAGCGAAAGCTCGGAGTTCTAACCATCGGACCACCAGGGAATTCCCTTTCTTTCCTTTTGCAGTTGAGCACTTTCACCTTTTCCCCTAAAGGAAGCACGTTACGGCTTCTCTGTGGCAGATCCGAATTGCCAGCATCACTTCTCTGGTGCTTTGGGGTGATTTTGAGTAAAATAAAAGTTACTTGAACGCAAAGCGCTGTGGTAGCAAGACAGTCGATCTAACTTAGAGGGCTACTAAGTGACTATCAGGTGAAATATGCTGGACAAAGGAATGATGCGTGTCCTGGGCAAGACAGAGTGGGACAGTGAGAGGTTTCATCACTCTACTCAAAATGGCACACAATTTGGGGACTTCCCTGGTGGCGCAGCGGTTAAGAATCTGCCTGCCAATGCAAGGGACACGGGTTCGAGCCCTGGTCCGGGAAGTTCCCACATGCTGCAGAGCAACTAAGCCAGTGTGACACAACTACTGAAGCCCGTGTGCCTAGAGCCCGTGCACCGCCACAAAGAGTAGCCCCGTTCGCCGCAACTAAAGAAAGCACGGGCACAGCAATGAAGACCCAATTCAGCCAAAATTAAATAAATTTATTTTTTTAAAAAAATGGCACGGGGGCTTCCCTGGTGGCGCAGTGGTTGAGAGTCCGCCTGCCGATGCCGGGGACACAGGTTCGTGCCCAGGTCCGGGAAGATACCACATGCCGCAGAGCGGCTGGGCCTGTGAGCCATGGCCACTGAGCCTGCGCGTCCGGAGCCTGTGCCGCGCAACGCGAAAGGCCACAACAGTGAGAGGCCCGCGTACCGGAAAAAAAAAAAAAAAAAAAAAAGGCACGCAATTTGAAACTTACAAGTTGTTTATTTCTGAAGTTTTCCATTTAATATTTTTGGACAGCCGTTGCCCATGGGTAACTGAAAGCGCCGATAAGTGGGGACTACTGTATTCATTCAACAATTATCTACTGAGCACCTTTGAACAAGGCGGGGTCCCTACATCCAGAGGCCCAGAGTTTACGGGAGCAGATAAGAAGAGGGTCCTGATCAGGACTCTGTAATGAGAAGCTGTTACGGCAGCACCAAGAAATGGCTCCTCAGTCAGTCCGTGGGAGCATCAAAAAGCATTTCCAAGAGGTGCTGATGCCGGAACGAATTCTCAAACATACGGGGATGTTTGCTAAGTGGATGAATAAATGCTTGTTGCACACTGAAAAGGAATTGGTATTTTGGTAATATTTTTGATATTGAATTTCTTTTTCTACTCTAGAATCCTGCCTCTGAGTGTGTGTGCACACGTGTGAGGGGAGGTGGTGGTCGTGGGGTTTTTGCTTAAAGCACAGATCACCTAATTCCCCACTACCTTCCGTTTACAAATTTCCAAGTTAGGAAGGGAGCATCCCCCCACTCCCCTTAGTCTGTCGTGCTACCTTGGCTTAGGGCCAGACTTAAGATACTCAGACTTTCCAGATTAGAATACTCCCCCTTTTTTTGCCTACTGGGGGGCTAAGGTGTGTCCTCATCTACTGTATTTAATGCAGAAAATAAAGCTGTGTTCTCTAAAGAGGGACACAAGACTGGGAGGAAACAAGAATATAATAAGCCAACCTCTGAAATGTTATGCTGCCTTTAGCTCTTGTTTCTTCTCTGCTACACGGACTCCTGGGCCAGTGGGTCCACAGCGTCTGTTACCTTGTACACATTAAGACTCCCAAACCCTATTTTCAACTGCTCATGAGACATATCTCCACCTGGATGGACTTCTTAGAGATTTTCCAAGACCCAAATCCACAGTCGCACGTGCCTGCTGTTCACTTTCCATGTGACTCTCCAAGAACCCCATGGACCCCCTCGGGACACTGTGGTCATTGTTTATGTGGCTTCCCGCCCTCCATAACCAGGAGTTCCTAGAGGGCAGAGGCCAAGCTTTCTTGTCCTTTGGCACAAGGCTTAGTACAATTATATCAACCAAAAACCATTTCTTCGAACAAATGAATACTATCAGCTGACATGTTGACCTTTTTTTCCCTTAAAAAGTTATGAGTTGGGCAACGGCCTCTGAATTTCTGAACAGGAAGGGGATTTATAAGATGCAATGTCATGTCATTTTACATGGAGGAAGTGGACCCTGTGTGTGTAAGTTC